ATATATATATATATATATATATATATATATACTGTTTCAATTTTACTTCTTATTTTAAACTTTCAAACACTTCCAAAAAACCTGGTTCACAATTTATAGAAGTACTTCAAGTACGTAGTTGTGGTGGATGAGGTAGTACAAACATCTGACGCAAAAATCTGTAAACATCTGAAGAATAAAAATAGATGGTCATAGAGAGTTTTTTCACCTCTTGTAAACACCACATTGCTCCACTTTTCTATTTCTCAGAGTATCCTGTATCCAATATCCCACGACACCAGGAAAAGCGTTTCTGATGACTTCACATCCAGCCTTCATGTAAACCCTGCTTTTATCATCTTGATGAGCTCTTCCATGTTAAATACTTTTTATCTCGCCTCCTCAAGCGTTCTCTCATTAGTTTAATATTCTTTCTAAACAACTGTTTTTGGGGGGAACAAATATCTAGAGAATTGAAATGGTGCTGTTAAGCATCATCTTCTTTACTGTTTGTGCTGGAACATGGTTCCTCAGAAGAAACCTTAACATAGGCGTGCATCCAAATTTACCGCTACGTATATATATCGTTGGTTTTATAGCCAGTTATTGAAGAGATGTTTTGATCCAAGATTAAAATAATATGATCACTTAAATAGAACACTGTTCTGAAAGCTAAGCATTGAAAATTAATTAGCATTTTTTCATATTTGCGATAACTATTAAAACTTCATTAAATTTTGCAAGTTTGACATTGGTGAATCTTACATTTAAAGTGGTCCGTCAGTCAAGTTTCCACATTTTCACTGAAAACAAACATAATACGCCACTTCAGGCTGTGGTTCTTGTTCAAATTTTCTTTTCACTGGAGACTTTCTCTTCGATTTCACATTTTGGAGATGAAATGGAAATAAAGGAAATATTGATGGCACAGCATAATTTTTCAAGTATCGTGAAGCTACAGATGAAGGGGAAATGAAGGAAATATTGATGGCAAAGCATCATTTTTCAAATATCGTGAAACTACAGATGAAGGGGAAATGAAGGAAATATTGATGGCACAGCATCATTTTTCCAAGTATCGTGAAGCTACAGATGAAGGGGAAATGAAGGAAATATTGATGGCACAGCATAATTTTTCAAGTATCGTGAAGCTACAGATGAAGGGTAAATGAAAGAAATATTGATGGCACAGCATCATTTTCCATGTATCGTGAAGCTGAAGAAGAACGCACCTATTAAGATAGATTTTAACTAATTAACTGACAATATATAAAAAGCTTGAGTCAATCTATTTGTACTGGCTTATCATTCCTTTTATTATATACTGTTTTCAGTTATTTTACTACTAGATATTCATATGGGAATTAATACATGCCTCCCATCATTGCCATCTTACCAATGATGAATTTTCTCTAAACGCCGATACTTAGAAGAAATTATTACAAAAATAATTTGAGAAAAGGATGGCATGTTAAGTTTTATAATGGTTTGGATAATAAACAGAATGTTTGAACTTATTATAAACTTGATACAATGAAATGTTCGATGCAGATGCAGAATATTTGGTTGAGTCCAATCTTTTCTACATGTAACAATATATGTTTAACTTGTAATGGAAAACTAGTAGGAAATAAATGTTTCTAAGTTCTAATTACTTCCAATTAGATGCGTTGTTTATAAACACGGCACTATTTATGATTAAAAGATTTTTTTAAAGTAATATGTTAACCAAGCAGTGATTTCTTCCCAGTATCAACAACCCCGAAGTTTCTAAACTAATTAGTTAGGCCTACATCATATATTCAGTTATAACAATACTTACGCTACCGGTAAGTTACTAATATTATATACACAGCTTACGATTAATTCTAATTTCAAAATATTTAGAATTAAACCCAAATCATCAACGCTTACGTACCTGTGAAAAGAGACTGGCGTATTTTCCATTTTTAAAAACATTTGAGTACGCAAGTACACAACAGTTACGTAGCATTCTTTCAGCACTTAGGCTTCCGACAAAATGGCGCTGGACTAGCACGGCAAGTGAACGACACCGATCTCTCCAGGCCATGTTATATATAGCTCACTGATCGAAGTTACATTAAACAATGAACTAGTGTTTCATTTTGAACTTTGAAAATTTTGTTACATTAAATGAAGGATCACAGTTCCACTATCTAATTTGATATTTTGATAAATTAAGTGATGATCACTATCAAAGTTGGTATTTAGTTACATCAAAATGGGCCGTGTGTGGCCCAATGGCTATTGTACCGGACTATGAATCCGAGGGTTATGGTTTGCATCTAGTTGCAGCAAAATCGCCCTCGGCGTGGGAGTATTATAACAGTGACAGTTAAATCGCACTATTCGAGTAGCGTATCCCAAGAATTGGCTGTGGGTGCTGTTGGCTAGATGTTTTCCTACTAGTTTATCAGTTCAAACTTAGGGACGGGTAGCGCAGTTAGCCACTGTGTAGCTTTGCGCGAATATTCAAAATAAATATCAAACCAGAGACCAGATGATGCTCTTACTCCAAACGAGAGATTACTGTATATTTATCTAGTTATGATGGATACTTATGAATGGATGATTAATTAAACTACCAATAATTTACCTGCGTTCCACTATGGGGTTCCAAGTCCCCAACCTACCGATTACCATCCTCCGTTATCACCAGCTATTTCTATAATTACCTCAAAGGAGTATATACCCGAAAACAAAGCCCATTTGGACACCTGCCCATGGTACATGAGAAGGTATGCTTAGGAGACGGGGCAGGAGCACAAATACCTGAAAACCTGCACCTAGAATCCTTCCATACCTTTCGGCTGTGTTTTAAACCTCTTGTTAGGGGGGGGGGGCTACGCCTTACTTCAGCTACCCAGAAGGTCACCTACGCATGAAGGGGTGGGGGACGGGGCGGAAGAGGGGGTTTTCAGAGTCGCTGAACCCGAATTTGATACAGGTTTTGTGTTCCTTCCCCTCTCCGCTTGTGATCCAGAGGCGTCATGTTTGAAACCGTGTTCATACCATTACTCATAGGTTAGCGAGACCAAATGTGGTACATGGGCAGGTGTCCTAATGAGGCTTGTTTGAGATTGCGCCCCATGGTGTAGCTCATTGTAGCCCATCTTTGTAGGAATTACGCCAAACAGGTAAGGACCACCGATTCAGCCTGCCAAGTTTATTCCTGCTATCTCCAAAATTAAGCGTTCGCAGACAAACAAACACACAGCGTGAATTAATATAGGATTCAGCATGGATCGTGGGTGAAATGCCATTTTTGAAGCAGCATGTTGCATAAAGCGTAGCAAATTTAGTAGATAAATTATTGATAATATTTATAGTTATAATTAGTTGAACAGTTCGCTGATTCTCAATTTATAATATAATGGTTTTATAATTTCATTTCCGTAAGATTATCTGTTTCATGACTTACAGGAGCCAGACGGTCAAAAATTAAGCAATGGAGTTCACTATAGACTTCAATTACTCTATTCCAGCGGTAAGTTTACTGTTCTTCTGGTATAATTCAACACTGTAATTTGTATGTATTTGGTACCTATTCGAGACTGGAGTGTATGTATTAACAGTATTTGGTATTTATTCAAGACTGAAATGTATATATTATATATATATATATTATAACTGTATTTGGCACTTATTCAAGACTAACATATACATTGACTTTATCTGTAACTTATTCAAGACTGGAGTGTATATGGGAACTGTATTTGGAACTTACTCAAGACTGGAGTGTATTATGTTAACTATATTTGAGTAAGTTCGTGCAAATAAATCTACACGTATGAATCAAGATCAATGTGACATGGGATGTTTGAAGTTTGATTGCTTTGAATCGAGAGGACTCTGATGTTTAAAGTTTCATTACTTTTATTTAAAGTGGATTCAACCGTATAAAAGATAAAAAAAACAGACATTATATTCTTCAATATTTAGAATAAATTCCCAATGGCTGTCAACATATATATATAATAACACAAAATACCTTGCGCATAACATATACTGTTACAAGTTCAAAGAGCGAGAAAAACACTTTACCGATAGCAAGTGTTCCAAAGTAAAAAGAAGTAAAAAAGAGTAAATTCTTAAATCAGCAAGTTAATCATTTACATAGTAAAAGAGGTTATTATAAGAAGAACTGATCTAAAAACGAAACAAAAAAAAACAACAGAGGGATACTAGCGAGGGCCAGGGGTAGTTTGGGGATTGAAGACGGCCCTCCCATGAGATCAGGGAAGAGGGATTCTTGATAAAACTGCACGGTGCGCTGCACTTAATGCTTCGTAGTCTATAATATTTATTAATACTATTCATACAGTTCACAAGTTAAACAAAAATTTATTGTGCAATTTTTTCGTTTACAGATCACCATTTTTTACATTTATTACGTATCTTAATAAGGCACACACCTACATAACCACAAAATAGCATGAAATGAAATTCATTCACACGATAAGAATTTTAAAAGAGGAATATAATTACTATTTTATCACTTACTCGTACTTCATCTACAACGGGAATGGCAACTTGGGCACCCTGTTTAAATAGGGTTGAAAGTGTTTCGTTGTTAATGTTTTTTCCGATCGACCGCCGGCCCATTGAGGATGTTACCGGTGTCCCGGAGGCCTAATCTGCCTCTATTGGCACAATCAACAATGTTTCTAAGGAGTACTGGTGTGAACATGATAAAAAGGTTCCTGGGAAGCTGTTGTTTCGATGGAACTTTAGGCAGAGTAGACATAGTAAATTTGAAAACTTTAATAGACTGCAAGTGCCTGTTGAAAGAAAAGGAGACGATGTTTCGGCCTTCTTCAGGCCTGAAGAAGACCTCAGTACAGAAGTCGAAAACTCGCTTCCTTTTGAACACGAGATGTCTGAGGGGAACTGTTTTGGGCTTAAGAAAGAGTTCCATGAGGTTCATTAGTTTGAATGTTAGGAGGAAGTTGCTGAGGACAAATAAAGTTAGAAAAGGTATCTAAAATAAATGCATTGAATTGAACGTAGGTAAAAAGACTTCGACAAGTGTAACGGTGAAAGATTTATAACGAGGCAATGTATGACCACCATAAAAGGTTTTTGAGAATTTGAATACATGAGAAATTAATTCTGGGGAGTTGTTCCAAAATAACAATAACAAAAAAAAGGGAGTCCTGAAGTGTACTTTAATAATCTGAGGGCGTTTCAGGGCTACTAGCAATATGATAAACAGAGTTCTTAATACTATGGTATAATGAGAAGGGGATTACTTTGGAGGAGTACTAATTTGAACATTTTTCTGAGAACTTGTGCACCTAATACGAAAGAAGTATGAGCCCGGGGAGTGCTGGTTTTGAGTTCTTTTTGAGAACTTGACGAGTACCTACTACAAATGAAGGGTTTGTTTGGAGGAGTACTGATAGAACATGTTTTTGAAAACTAGTTTTGTACTTAATACGAAAGACAGGTTTGAAACTAAGAGTGCACACAACAAGAACGATTATTTTTCTTCAAAGAGCAAAGAAAATTCCGATAATTACTCTTGTAAACGTAAGAAAAATGTTTCCAAACGGTGAGTATTTTGCAAGAAAGAGTAACTATAGTGTTCAAGACATTAAAAGTTATGTACACAGTAGGATAAACTGGTTAAACTCTGAAGCTTATATAGTTATTAAAGTAATACAGAAATACACACACACATATATATATATATATATATACATATATATAATTTTTAAAGTTACACTTATTTAATCTTCAGCATAAAATATATAAATTTATAGCTTATTTGCCGTAAAGGACAAAGTTACAGAAGGGGCTACAAGTGCTCTACACAGCTTTATAAAATATTTTGTATAAAAGTAGGTGAACAATATTGTCAAAATAACCCACTGTCGTTTATTATAATAAAACACTTGAACATGTGGGAAATGTTTAGTCGTTATGTTACATTGTACATTTTTTACAATATATATATACATATATCCATATCGAAGCTAAACGTTTTTTGTTTTTTTTTATGCTATAAGTCATTATAGGAATAATGTTTCTGTAGATGATATGACACATCGTAAAGCATTGATAGTGAATGGGGTCACACTTTAAAATTGGACAAAGACATAGCTGGTCAGTTCTTACTAAATATTATGTAATAACTCGCCATGTCGGCCACTACGTAATTATTTGAAATTTTTTCAAACAAGAAAAGAAAAATAAAGACAACCTTTTTTTCTTTTCACAGGTATTCGTCAGGAACAAGATATTTACGTTCGGCTTATTGATTCCGCCACGAAACAGGTAAGAAAAATCTTTTGCAGTAATGCACATAAATGAGTACAAAAAAGTACCGTGTGCTGATGGAAGTCGCTCGAAGCCTGATAAATCGTTTTGGACTACAGAATCGGAGCAGCCTGGAACTTCTCCCGGTGTTTGTTTATACGTACGAGGTCACATCCCACTCTTGGGGTGATTCACGAGACTTCGTTTAGTTTTATGTTTTACTGGCGGTCTGCCTGTTACTTGATAGATGTGTGCATATGTGTTTGATGCTTAATTGGACTAGCCTGATGTTTTGTGTGTTCAAACATTTTTAAACTGTCTTCACCAAAACATTATATGTTCCTTTGAGTCTGAAGCTGAAATCATTCCTACTCGGTATTCTGTGTTACTCTTGGATGTTGTTTTATATTATGGTCCATTTTATCCAGAAACGACGCTAGGCGTGTCTTCTTTTATTATTGTCTATTGCCTCGTGTGTGTGTGTTTTTGTTGTTCTTGTTGTTGGGTTTTTTCTGTAGCTGTTATTTTGCATTCTCACACTTGAAGCCCATTATCAGCGTAGGTTATTTTTTCAGTTTATCTTAAGCTAAATATTCCAGTACGTTTTATTTATTTCCATACTAACATTGCGAGAACTGGTTTTGGTTCTCGGTTGACTTTAGTATAACCTGATACCATTTCTCCTTGTTTCTGTTCAGTTTCGCTTTTAAAGTGTGATATAATTATTCCTCATTCACTTTCGGTGCTCTAATGTCACCGATTACTCCCTTTTCTTCTTAAATTCTATTTGAAAATCGTTCTAATTGTTTTAGTTTTTGATTCACCCCAACTACACATTATTGGGATGTGACATTGTATTGTTTTTCCTGGCTTTTGTTCAACTCCTAGTTTTCAAGTTTTAATCATTTCTATTTAATTTTTTGGTACTCTAGTATCACTTAATGCTGATTCTCCCTGATCTTGTTGGACATAGTGCTAATTGGTTGCAGTTTATTCTGCTATTATTTTTTTTTCCATTTTCTTCATTCTGGTTTTAAGGTATTTAATTATTCTTGTTTCGTTCTAGATGTTGCCTTAATTACTCCTGGTGTTTTGGTGCTGCTTTAATTAATACTAGTTTCTTGGTGCTGCTTTCATTACTTCTAGTTTCTTGTTGCTGCTTTAATTACTTCTAGTTTCTTGTTGCTGCTTTAATTACTTCTAGTTTCTTGGTACTGCTTTAATTACTCCTGGTTTCTTGGTGCTGCTTTAATTACTTCTAGTTTCTTGGTGTTGCTTTAATTACATCACCAAGAAACTAGAAGTAATTAAAGCAGTACCAAGAAACTAGAAGAAACCAGGAGTAATTAAAGCAGGGTACTGCTTTAATTACTCTTGATTCTTTGTTCAAGTTAGTTTTTTGGTGTGTTGTCAATCGTTAGTTCTTCAAGTAGTTTAATACAAAAACACGGTAGGTATTAGTTTTAAATGATGTCATTGGTCCCTTGATTATTAGTTCACTGAACCTTTAACGTGATTGGATCCTCTTAGGTGTACTTAATATATATTTATAACTTTAGGTGGATTTACCATTTAAAAATGATCGATTATTTTTATGCAACTGCTGGTTTAATTTTTAAAAACAAATTTCTGTGTGGCTTCTCCTTGAAACAAAATCAATTTATATAGGTTATCAGATTATTGGGAGTAGTAAATGGGAGAATTAAGTGAATTTTCAGCTTATTACCATACAGATAATGGCTAGTTTTATCCCTTATATGGATGATAACTGTTGGGCGTTGTCGCTATGGTGACAAGAGGTGGCTATCAGGGTCTGATTCACGCCGATAGCGTAATAAATGCACGTGCTGCACGTGATCAGATATCACATCTTCGTAACTTTGAAAAAGGCGTAATTCATATGTCATAAATCTAGTATGGCATCTTGTTTTTTTTTCTTATTAAAATTAGAACAAACCTCTCATAATGATACGTTCCGTAATTATTGCTAAATGTGATAAATTGTAGAATCCTCTAGTCGGGTTTTAATAAAATACAGCCTGGATAGGTGTGTCACTATAGGGGCAGGTAGTGTTACAAATAATCAGATTTTCCACTTCATATATATATATATATATATAAGCCTCAAGCTTAAAGGTAAGCTGAACTGTCTTATTTGGTGCATGTCAAATTATTTGATCAATTTCACTCAGTGAAACTTTACTAGTGGCAAAGTGACAAGATAGAGGGAGAGACATATTTTGATCAGTTCAGCTACATCTGGTGTCTGTTTCACTGACGCTGTGTTTGCCATTAAGCATGTCGTGATTATTCTGAATCAAATAAAGAAACTTTCATAATTATTACAGATTGCAGTTAAACCTAAACCAATGTTAATTTATAGAATTTTCAAGCCTATTCTAAACACATGCTACCTATAGTGTATTTAAAGCTCATTCTAAACGTGTGCTGCTTATAGAGTTAATAAATCCCATTCTAAACATGTTGTACCTGTAGAGTTACTAAAGGCCATTCTAAACATGCTGTACCTGTAGACTTAGTAAAACTTATTCTAAACACATGCTACCTATAGTGTATTTAAAGCTCATTCTAAACGTGTGCTGCTTATAGAGTTAATAAATCCCATTCTAAACATGTTGTACCTGTAGAGTTACTAAAGGCTATTCTGCATGTATTCTAGCTATACATGCTACTTGTAGAGTTGGTAAACCATATTCTAAACACATGCTACCTATAGAGTTAATAAATCCCATTCTAAACATGTTGTACCTGTAGAGTTACTAAAGGCCATTCTAAACATGTTGTACCTGTAGACTTAGTAAAACTTATTCTAAACACATGCTACCTATAGTGTATTTAAAGCTCATCTAAAGTCTATAATAAATGTCCTGTTTTAGTCTATATGATTTCTTTGTTTGATAAAGTTTACTGAAAAATTTCCACAAAGAACATTCATTTGAAGTGTAACATTTGAAGACAGGTTTAAGAATATGATAGATTAGTGTCTCTAATAGTTAATCCTGAATTATAAAGTATTTTTAGTTGTAATACTGCTTTTGTTTTCTATTCTCAACTTTCTATTGCATATTAATTATATCACTGCATTTCTTGTCTTTTGATATCCCCCCAGTGGCTCAGAAGTAAGTCTGAACGCTCACAACATTCAAAACCGGGTTTCGATACCCATGGTGCTTAACCAAGCTTTGTGCTTAACTACAAAGGAACAAACAAACTTTAGATATTTTCCTGAATAACTTATAAAAAGAACCAAATGATCATTGATTCATTAAAGTATTCTATATTTACCAGCCGCGACTCGCAAAACATTTGCGATAGTTTTATGCCCTTCCCTTGAATTTTCCCTATTCTATCATTTTAACGCACGCCATTTAAGCTACGCTTTCTTGCAAGCATTATGGATTGATCGATAAATCCTGGTTTATTTTTTAAAAAAGTTTACGCGGTCAGACAAAAAAAGTTCACGGAGATGTAACTTTATTTAATGTTTGTTTTGTTCTTGAATTTCGCACAAAGCTACACGAGGGCTATCTGCGCTAGCCGTCCCTAGTTTAACAGTGTAAGACCAGAGGGAAGGTCATCATCACCCACCTCCAACTCTTGGGCTGCTCTTTTACGAACGAATAGTGGGATTGACCGTCACATTATAACACCCCCCACGGCTGAATGGCCAAGCATGTTTGGTGTGATGGGGATTTGAACCCGCGACCCGCAGATTGCGAGTCGAGCGCCCTAACCACCTGGCCATGCCGAGCCCTTTTATTTAATAAAACTACACGAAAAGTAAATAATAAAGTAAATTAATGGTATTTATAATAGCGTACAGAGTATAAAACAGTTATGAGCGTTCAGTGTATGACATACATTTACGAATTGAAACAAAGAAGCTCACAAAAACGAAGAATGAAACCCGTAGTAAAGGAAAAAGTAGCTAAAAGGTGTTTACAGCAGTCTACGAAACGAACAGAAGCTAAATTATTGCCAAGTAAAGTAAATGTAAAGTTGTAATGAAGGAAAACTTAGCTGAATATGCAGAAACATCTGAATTCGTGTTCACAAAGTGATAAACATATGGTTTGTAATGAATTGCGCGTGCGTATTTTAGATCTAAATCTGTCGAAAAAAGCTTTATTTAGTGTAATGTTCATTTTTTAGAAAATAACACGAAGGTTACGTGTTGTTTGTGTGAAATACTTTGCAAATAAATAAATTAAAGTTGAAATTGAAGCCAGTCACCACGTGATGACAACGACATTGTACCATCATGTACCATACTTGTTGCATTGGAAAGTTTGACTAAGCAAAAAACACTTAAAATGATCCTGAATTGAAAAGCAAATATGCAATTTGGACTCCTCGGACAAAGGCCTTTGTAACGATATGAGATCTGTATCGTTTTATCGAGAAATTTGCGAGAAACGTTTCGGACAGTCAAACGCAAGCGTATTATATGTATTGATAAACTTTAAAGAAAAATATTTCATAGGAAGTTTTGGAAAGAGAAAGAAAAGTCCAAAACAGGAGCTGATCTCAATGTAGCTTACTATATAAAATATCCATTCACTTTTAAATAGACAAACATTACGCGCCAAAACTTTTATCTGCTGAATAGACCTGTGAGCTTTTCATTTTGTCAGAAAGAAAGTTTTGATATATTTTTAATTCGGTGGTCAATTCTTCTCTGTTTTGACACAGAAAATATAAAAATCCTGTCGTTTTATTTCATTCATTCCTGCTCTATTATTTTTATTATTTACACACACTTTATCCTTGTTCGGCACATCCTGTCCTCTTATTTTGCCACCTTAGTATTTTCTTCACATCAACTTACCTTAACATTTCATTTCCCCAGATCATGTCTTTTAACTTTTCATTTCTCAAACTCTTGTCTTTATTTTTTTATTTCTCTACATATGGTTTCTTACCTTTTTTATTTCTCAATATCTCGATTCTTTACCTTTTATTTCCCCATATCATATTTTCTTTTTATTTCTTCACATTGTGTTTTTATCTTTTCATTTCTCGATATCCTGGCGTCTTTATTTTTACTTCTTCATATCACGTTTTCTTACCTTTTTCAATATCCTGATGTATTTGCCTTTTATTTATCCACATTATTCTGTCTTAGCCTTTTAAGCTTGTCGAAACGTTGTATATTTGTAATAAAGTTTCTTTCACTACCCATTCAAGCCGTCTTCAAATTTTATTTTCTGTCGAATTCTTTATGACTCCGTCCGCACAAAAGATGTTTTTAAAATTTTGTCTTCTGATCGGATCCAGTTAATCAGTTGTATTTATTTCTGCTACAAGTTTAGATATATATGTTGTACAACCAGCCAACACAACAATTTCTTCTGCGAGTTTATTGATACTAGATTAACCTCTTTAAACTGAGAAGGGCCCTTGAGTGGAACACTTGTATGTTTGGTAACATTTGGTCAGTGTGATATGTTTACCATTCATCCTAACGTACCATATGGGACACGCACCGCGGCGAAAACCGCCTACCGTGTGTATTCGCTCGTGAATCGTTCTCTTTCGCTCAAGCCCCGTGTAGCTACCCGCGAGGCACGCGGTAGGTGGAACATTAGTGCCCACCACTGCTTCAGTAGCATGAAATTATAACAACGTTCTAAGCCTCCACAAACTAGCATTGTTTCTGTACTAGGGGTTTCAGAGTGAATAGATTAAATGGCAGCTTTTTTTTTTTTGGTGTGTGTGTACGTGGGGGGGTCAATAGATATCTGAGAAGAATGCACGTCACTGATGACGACTTTTCCTGCTAACTGGAAGGCTGAAAACACCGCTAGCAGCGATGGTACCCAACAGTGAAGTAAGACAGAGTGGTCATAGATTTTTTTTTTTTTGCAGTTAGCCTGTTACTCATAATTAAGTCTATTTATTATTAGCAGTAATTGTTATTGTAAAATTATAGCAGCTTTTCTGTTATAAGCTATGTCTCTTTTTCGTAACTGTTTTATCACCGGAAGTTTGAAAATAAAATAAAACCTAAGCACTGTGTTTATGTAGATGGTTACAAGGAATGTAACCAACGCCCATTGTTAGCTATGTGTAAATAGATTTATCCGCGAATCTCATTAAATATATGGATAATCGTAATGTTCATATTTCAGAAACTTGTTAAAAGTACCGAACAGCTCTATAAACGTTATTATTTCTTGTCAACTGACCCAGATCACTTCTAACTATATTTTACAGTAATTTTTTAATTAGCTATAATTAAGTTCGTAGCTTCTACTTTATTAATTCACGTCGTTAATCAAATAAGCAGGGTATTTTTAACTTTTCCCTATAAATGTTATAAACAAAATCATGAATATGTTTTTTAATAGTCGTACAGCTGATCTATGCCATGGTGCTGGCCTGGCATGGCCAGGTGGTTAGGGGTGCTCGGGAATCCTCGTTCCACCGAACATGCTCGCCCTTTCAGCCATGGGGGCGTTATATTGTAACGTCAATCCCACTATTCGTTCGTAAAAGAGTAGACCAAGAGTTGGCGGCGTGGGTGGTGATGACTAGTTGCCTTCCCTCTAGTCTATCACTGCTAAATTAGGGACGGATAGCGCAGATAGGCCTCCTGTAGCTTTGCACGAAATTCAAACCAATTTATAGTGCTACTGATCAGAAAGCGTTCGAGATATAGGTTTAAGAATTTTTTGAGTGTTATTAAAGTTATAAATGCATTTTGTTTCCAGCCTATTGCATATGAAGGACAAGATAAGAATCCAGAGATGAGAAGAGTGCTCCTTACTCATGAAGTCATGTGTAGGTAAGAAAGTATTGGTATTATATATAATGCTATCACATATAGCAAAGCTAAATAATAACAATGTAGTATATATTCATGTGACTATGTGAGTCAAGGCCAAGTAATAATAACATACTAATTATTCATGTAACTATGTAGAGACAAGGCCAAATGACAACAATGTAGTTCTTATTCATGTAACTGTGTAAGTCAAGGACAAATGACAACAATGTAGCACTTATTTATGTAATTATGTGGAGACAAGGCCAAATGACAACAGTGTAGTACTTACTCATGTTAATTTGTAAGTCAAGTCTAAATAATAGCAATATAATACTTAGTCAAGTTACAATGTGGGCCAAGGTTAAATAATAACATTGTACTACTAAATCCAGTTACAATGTAAGTCAAGGCTGAATAAATTAAATGTTAAGCTTATAGCTTATCCATGTCGCAACGCACGTTCAAGATTAATTAGTAACGATGTTGTTTTAGATATGGGACTGCCCCCCCCCCCAGTGGTACAGCGGTATGCGAACTTATAACGCTAGAAACCGAGTTTTGATACCCGTGGTGGGCAGAGCACAGATAGCCCATTGTGCAGCTTTGTGCTTAACTTTAAACAAGCAAACAAGATATGGGACAATTTGTTGTCAAGGTTAAATGTTGTCAACATTAACAGTTATAACAAATTAATTTAATTATTCCTGACTGACTTAGACTAAACAGTAACAATGTACTTTTTTACAAGATCATACTTAGCGCTACGAACGTAGTTTTTATTCACGTACCTACATAACAAAGAGTTGCTTTTCACGCAAACTTCAGCAGAAAAGACTTTCAGTCTTTAAAGGAATAAAGACCAAAGTGAATTTAATAATGTAACTTTTTTGTTGAACCTATAGCTACATTACTTGGAGCACTTTTAGTTGGTTTCTCTTTCCACTGGGCAACTTATAAAACTTCTGTTACTACGTGTAGAAGTGTTCTATTATGTTTCTCAAACGGCCGTAAGTGTTAATTGTCTAACAACTTTTGTGTTCCGCTCTCTCCCAGCCGTTGTTGTGATAAGAAGAGCTGTGGAAATCGAAATGAAACTCCTTCAGATCCAGTGATCATCGATAGGTAAGTGTTGTTGTTTTTGTGGGCGTTTTTTTTTACTCTCCCTCTCTGTGTGTAGGGCTGGGTTAATGTTTAGTGGAGCCCTAGGCCCAGGTAATATTTGGAAATAATAATAACTCTTTCTCTATGATGATGACAAAACCTTGTTGAAACGTTGTACATTTGCTGTCATGTTAAATTTATATTAAAGTTTTCTTCATTACCCATTCAAGCCGTCTCCAACCATTATAACTTTTTTTCTCTATTCTGCTAGTTTTACGAACCATAAATTTTTTTAGTTGGGTGGCCGGCGGGGCCCTAGGCTAGAGCCTAGGTGGCCTATGTGTTAATCCGGTACAGTGTGTTTGTGTGTGTGTGTAATTGTAAGCCTATGAAAACGACGAGAAAGACCTTTAACAAAGAAGAGACTTTATAAGAGCAAAGGCGCCTAACTGCACTATAAACTGGAGAGGATAAATTGCATTTCAGTTTGCACTGGGGGGAGGTTAACCTCTTAGGAAGGCCAAGGATATGCTAATTAGTATTAGTCATATCGTTTCCCGACTAGAAGAATAATACAATTATTGTAACTCATAAAAAAATGACTATCCATAGCTAGATTAATAGTGGGAGCCCGGCATGGCCAGGTGGTTACGGCGCTCGACTCGCAATCTGAGGGTCGCGAATACCCGTGACACCAAACATGCTCGGCCTTTCAGCCGTGGGGGCGTTATAACGTGACGGTCAATCCCACTATTCGTTGGTAGCCCAAGAGTTGGCGGTGGGTGGTGATGACTAGCTGCCTTCCCTCTAGTCTTACACTGCTAAATTAGGGATGGCTAGCGCAGATAGCCCTCGTGTAGCTTTGCGCAAAATTCAAAACAAACCAATTAATAGTGGGGTGCTCTTTTTGTTTTCGTAACCGATGATAATGATGCAACAGGCGAGTCACGTTTGCGCTTTTTAACAAACTACTTATCTGAAATAAGGAGATACTCTGGGTTGTCAAGTTTATACGATCTTGTGGTTGTTAGAATCCCAGTTTCTTTATTTCATTTACATACATCCATATTTAAAAATAAGTAATGTGGTTGAAAAAAAGGGGAAACAACTACGTGTGTTGTCCTCTTCCTCAGATGCGAACGTTAGAAGGGACTTGTTCCTCTTATCTTTGTCCTCGCGATTGCAGCCATGTGGTTATAAATAGGGGATAATTACATGTATCCCCCCCAGATGCGAAGGGTGGAAGGGACTTGTTCCCCTTGCCTCTGCTCGCGATCGCAACCATGTGGTTATAAATTGGGGACAATTACATGTATCCCACACCCAGATGCGAAGGGTGGAAGGGACTTGTTCCCCTTGTCTCTGCTCGCGATCGGCGCCTATGTTTACAAACACTAAAAACACGTGAGAAGATTATTGTATTTGATTGCGAGATTTAACAGTGTTTACATGACGAAAATGTTAGTTGGTGATTTCTTACAATTTAACGTATTCGTTAGTATATGTTACTGTAAACGTAGATTATTGTATTTGACTGCGAGATTTAACAGTGTTTACATGACGAAAATGTTAGTTGGTGATTTCTTACAATTTAACGTATTCGTTAGTATATGTTACTGTAAACGTAGATTATTGTATTTGATTGCGAGATTTAACAGTGTTTACATGACGAAAATGTTAGTTGGTGATTTCTTACAATTTAACGTATTCGTTAGTATATGTTACTGTAAACGTAGATTATTGTATTTGATTGCGAGATTTAACAGGCACTTGACGAAAATGTTAGTTGGTGATTTCTTACAATTTAACGTATTCGTTAGTATATGTTACTGTAAACGTTGACTCCTAATTTGAATGCTTCTCAATCTTAATGCCGATATAAAGTTTGTAATAAAGTCATTTATAGAATAACGTGATTGGAAATCGAAAATAAGTTTTAAAATTAAATTCATGTTAGATTAATGAATTTAGAATGTTCTGGTGAACTACGAGTTTACTAGAGGAATATTAAACCTTTACAAATGCGTACACATAGATCACCCATCCAAGGGCCTTTCTGCCATCAGTCACAGGAAACTACTGATGCTCATCGTTGTGCTGACAGGCAGATTATCTGACAACGCATCGTGAGATTCCTAGATAGCTTACGGGTCAGAATCTTTTAACTGAGTAACTAGGCTTACATGAGGAAGCCACGTGACACGTTTGGATCGTCTAGATGGCCGAATGATCTACGAAACTTACTAGGCGTTGCTTTAAGTCTTCGTTCTTTCTAGCTGACAGCAATTTTAGGCCTAGTTCGTGGTATTCAAACTTGATGCTTTGTGAATGTAATAGACAGATACGGCTGCAGTATTCAGATCTCTTGACGAGAGCGCGTGACATGCACGCACGCTTGCATGCAGCCGCGCGAGAACTGTGCGCGCGAGTTGCTATTGAGTAATCACTGATCCCAATTCGAGATACCGTAGTGCGAGACGTCAAAGTACAATAAGCACACCAAAGGGTGGCAGATGTTCTAATCAGCAAATCGTTTTCCTTATTCCTAGTTTTGATTGAATGATCGGACAACTCAAGCGCTGTATGTTACATTTTACATCTGTTTGACGAGTGCTCTCTTTCTCTCTCTCTCTACTATTGTCCTACGGACATTTTTTTTTCTTACGTTTAAAGACAATTTTGTGATTTTTTCGAGTCTACGCTGAGCACCAGTCTTAAAATCTTAAATTAACAATAGTAGGATGCAGCCTGAGCACTGAACTAGGCTTCAAAATGATAATATATGAAAAAGCTTTAAATAGTTAAACTAAACGCAACACGAAAGATGGGTGTTTATTAATAATTCCAGTTCGATCATACACTACCTTATCAGTGTAACTAATCAACGTCGTATCATGCAGGAATGTAATGTTAGAACTATATTTCTTTTGGTGACAAACTACATTTGATTTTCTAACCATTTATAAACGTTTATAATTATTCAGCTAGTTTTACAAAATTAACTCAAATCGCTATCGCGTGGAGCTCTCGGAAATTTAAGTTACTCTTAGTTCTACACGGCGTTATTTATAACGTTTTTCAAATTAATGTTGTCTCCATTAAAAAACAACAACAACAAACAAATACTAGGCTTAAGCCTTCACTAGTATTGTATTTCATGACACGCACATACCATGTATAAAGCCATTACAAATACCATTGTTACCAGCGGTGCGCTCAGTGATATGAAATACCATAGTATCAAACAATTCGTCTTATATTGTTTTGTTGTTCTAAGTTTAAGTTTAATAGTAAATTTGTAATAAGGCGAGTCCTTTTTCTTTTACAATGATTCACAGATGTGTGTGTAACGACTATGGTTTATCTCGTACATAATTAAAACGAAGCCACGAAGTTAGAATATAGCATACATCACAGGCGGTAGAGCAAAATTGACGTCAGACGACAGTTTAGTGACTCACAGGAAAACCGCAGAGCACCTGTCACCGATGTTAGGCTTAGGAACGTCCCTGTGGAACGGCAGCAGCCACTTGGGAAACGGCGTGGAACTTTTTTCCTTTTTTAATCGACGTACAATCGTATCTGTGTCCCCCTTTTGTTATATCAAAGCTTTAAAACTTTGTCTAATTCTTGAATCGGATGTTTTGAGTACATTTCCTAATGCTGTCTTTTTATATTAGAGTCTAAAAAGTCTGCACTTGAATGGCAATTAAGTACTCAGTAAGAGTTGTTGAAAACATTCTTTAATTCGAAGTTTAGAATGTTATCAGTATTTGAATTATATGGACGTCTGCAGTACATGCTTCTGTTCGTGCCGCTTGTATTTTTCTGTTCAACCAATCAACAAGTAACAACATAACGTTCGCGTGTGACTGAAATATGTAGGTACCTAGCACTTAGGTAATAGATTCCTGCTTCAATACACAGCACGCTGAAAGAACTGTACAGTCTGGACACGAGAGTATGTGTGGTACGTGTCTCGTGAAGCGCCGCTGTTCCAACGAGCTCTTCAGAAAGCACTTATAAGATAAATGGAATCGGTCCCACACAGAGCATAGGCTAAGCTAGTTTTAACATGCTTATTGTCTGTGTACCTACATGACTTTGTAAAATGTAAGTGGGCCTACAGGAAGAAGATAGCAGTGTAATAATTATTTAAATTTGTATAAAGCTCGGGATTTAAGGAGAAAAATTCATGATTCGGATATTCAGGGATAATATTTCTGTATTTATTTTTTTATTTTATTTATGAGACCTTTAAATCAGATTAATAAAATTATTTTGTATTTTCATGCAAGTTTACTGGGTTAAACGTTTTTTTTTACTTTATGTTATTATAGTAATTAAGATGCCAGAAAAGTCCAATTGTCACGAAATGAGCACACACAAACTTAATATTTATGATAGGCATTAAACTACTGGGATTTTGATGTTTCGTAAATGAAAATGAATCAGTAGGGTGAAGCATAATCTTTTTTTTTTATGCCAAGAATAAAATCAGTTTTAATATATATAATAACGGAATTAAGAAATATTGAATAAACATGGTAATCTCGTTACTATGTGAAATGGGTTTGGGATCGAACACAGGATCTTTCATACGCTAGACCTTTGACCTAAAAGAGTTAATCTACATGCAATCACTTTTTATAAACTCATCTAGCAAGATATTTCTTTATAACTCAAACTACCATATATCTTCAAGGATTTTTGGTCCAAATTAGCATTATCCCAAAGTTTGTGGAAATCAGAACTTACATTGTTTGGAAGAAAAGTGTGCAGTTAATCTTATGTTTTCAGTGTTATTTAATAAGAATATTATAGATGTCACATAAGAATTCCTGCTGCTTTCCACAAAGCAAATTCATTTCATTGTTATGTTCCATATCGGCATACATAGGGTTATAATTGCGAAAATATGTATATGCAAAGTAGAAGCTACTTACGTAACATTTGCTGCTGTGAAGCGTGTCACGTGGTCTCCTGACTTCTCTCTCGTGAAACGCCTCGTGTTCGTTGGG